TATATTAATTGTGGGGTTGCTCCACAGTATTAATATATTAGAAGCCCTTATCCTATTCTCCTTAGGGTCCCTACTGTAGCTCTATATATAGAGCATTAGGCTCATGGAAGAAGAGAACAATCCCACAACTTGAATAAGTCGTCTGCCCCTCTCTTTCTCTCTCTTCCAAGGAGTTCTTCTATTTCTCCACTGATACAAGATCTAGAAAGCTGTTTGAGAATACAGTAGAAGATCTTAAGGTATATAGAGATTCCAATCATACATCCAAACCGGAGACCAAAACCAGCAAGTGACCATACCACGACGACCAGGACGACGAGACGAAGAGATCGCCGTCGAGATCGCCGTCGTACACCGCCGCACGCGCCCACACGCGCCGCCGGGAGGAGCCTGCTGCTGGGACTTGCACCGGCGCGTGAGAGAGTGTGTGACCTCCGTTTTCCGACCGGTCAACGCCGTTGACTTCGCCGTGACGTCAGCTTTCTGGATTGGTTCCGAGAAGATTTGATTTGCGGTCAACTGTCCGGGCCAGCCAGATCTTTATAAATTTTAAGCAGTAAGTTTTCTTCATCAAACCTTTAGATCCGCTGCGCATAGGTTTATGTTGAATGTTTGTCCGTGATTTGTGCATATCGAGATCCTTGTGGGTTCCAACAGACCCATTATCTTTGATACTATGGATATACGACTTGACTCGCTTTTGTCTCACGAATCCCTGGAAGAACTTGGTATTGCGTTCCTCTTCCGCCACCCAGCGCACAGTAGCCTTTTGCTTCCAGAAATCTTCCCCCATGAGGAGGCGTAACTGGTACTCAGCATGACAGCAGCGTATCTCGGACCTATTCTCTGGTGAAGAATCCAGATCATAGATCCTTTCAGCCTCCACATACGCAGACTGAGCTGCAGTAAGGCGCTGAGTAATGTCACCAAAAGTCGTCCAGTTCCTCTGCTTCAAAACGCGGCGGAGTCTCCTGAGCTTCTCCTCCATGTTGCACATCCCATAGAGGTGCGTAGCCTGCTGCCAAGAAGCTCTAACAATATCGTAGTAAGAATGGTGGCGGACCCACATGTTCTGGAAGCGAAAGGACGCCCGTCGAGGGAAAATAGAGAACCGACACCGGATCAAAAGGGGAGCATGGCCGGATCCAATTCGAGGAAGTGTATTACAACCGTGGTCGCAAATACCCTGTCCATGCCTCTGAGTATAGAGCGCGGTCGAGTCTCTCCTTGACTCCGGTCCTCTCCCACGTAAATGGGGCCCCTTCGTAACCAGCATCGATTAGCTCACAATCCGATACAACGTGCGAGAAATCAAAGATCTCCGCTAAGCGGTCTGATACTCCACCAATGCGTTCATCGGGATGCAAAAATATGTTGAAATCACCGCTAACCATCCACGGTAATCCCTCCATACTCTCAGCAATCTCACGCATGGTGTCCTAGAGGTCATAACGACCAACCCTCGCACAGCTGGCATAAACCAAGGTGTGGAAGATCGGCTGCGGGAGGTGGGCGGCGGTGAGCTTCACGTGCAAGACCTGATCAGTATCTCAAAGGATCTGACAAGTAAAATCACGCGAATGGAAAAACCAAATCTTGTTAGAGGTGTTGCCCACCCCGATATGAAAGCCAAGGCGGCGCGAGTATACGTCAAAAGAGGGGTCACGAGTCAAAGGCTCTAAGAAAGCCGCAAAGTCAAGGTTATGCTCACGAATGAGATATCTAACGTGAGCAAGGGTGGTCCTATTAGCCAGACCACGGGCATTCCATGTTAGCGATGTGACTGACATGTCAAAAGTCAGTGGATCCGCCTAACTGGAATTTCCGTGGTTAGGCTGTGTCTGTATGTCTGGTAGAGATAGAACTAGGCCAGCCGAGAGCTGCGCAGTCCTAGATCTAGTCTGAGGTCTCTGGAGATATAGGCTCTCCTGGGCAGGGCCCTCACGCATAGAAAGAAACTCCGGAGGTAGGAGGGCGAGTTGTAGGGGCTCCAGGCCATCTGTGCTCTGAGCCTGGTCCTGAGTGGAAGGCGGCCCAGACTCGATAATGGGAGATGTGGCGGAAGAGGAAGGTAAGGTCAGAAGAAGTCGAGCTGGTGGGAGTAGAAGAGGCTCACCCATGTAATGTGGGGAGGGCTCTAAAGTCTGAATGGGAACCGAAGGGGAAGGAGGAGCCTCAATACAAAATAGGCTGGAGGAAGACTCTATCTCATAAACTAAAAGATCATCATCATCAAAGGGGGAGTTGGTCGAAGCTCCTAAGTGATCGGAGGGAGTGTGAATCTCCTCTCTCCGTCTCTATGTTAAGCACAAAGAAGTGAGAGTGGTAGCCATAGAGGCAGTCTGGAGGGACTGATGGGGGAATAGGCATGTAGCTTTGGCCTTGGGCCCATTCAGGATAGCCTTCTTGGGCCAGGTGGCCTCAGAGGTGATCTTGCCCTTGCCCTTTTGTCCCTTCGGATCGGGATCATGGGCAGGAGCCTTGCCCTTCTCCTTCGGGCTCCCCGGAGTGACAGAAGGGTTCAGCCTCGCTATGCGGCGATGAGGAGGCAAAGCAGGTCGGGACTTGTTGCCCCTGGTGTAACATTCTGCAACCCCATGTCCTACATGACTACATAGGGTGCACAACGGGGGAACTCTCTCGTAGACCACTTTCAAGATAGTGGTCTTGCTCGCTTGGTCAAGCTCAATCTCCTTAATGAGCTCGTCCCTGAGATCAATCTCCACGCACACCCGGGCGACAGATAATCTCGAGTGGTTTGCCATAGTGGCATCAGTCTCAATGGGGTTGCCAATGCAGCTGGTTATTGAGAAGAGGGCTGAAGGATCAAAAAGATGTGGTGAGAGGCCCGGTAGGCAGCACCATACCGGAACAATGGGATATTCCTCTACAAAATAGAAATCAGGGGTGTATTTGAACACCCGACCAGAACATCCAAAGATATTGAGGTACGTCTTAATCCAAACAGAGTTATAGTCCTCATTCAATTCAAAAAATAGCAGATAATGATTATAATTAAGAAACTTAGGTGACACTCTACCCTAGAACCCCAATTTGTCCAGACCGATAGATAAGTCCCGGAGGGAAGGAACAGTGAAGGAAAACTTCAAGATAACTGCACTCTCAAATGACTCTGCTAGGGAAGTAAACGTGGGCTCAGGGAAACTTACCTTGAACCTGCCCTCCTCGGTGCGAGAGACAGTCCCGCTTTGTTTGTCCCGAAACGATTCCAACATCATTCTCTGGTGGACCGGTTTGGCGGTGGATGTGCCAGACACCCTGTCTCGAAATGATCGAGCTCCGGTTGGGCGGGGGCCCTGGTTCACCGGTTGGGGAGGGGGGATGATCGTGCTCGTTCCTTGGGAAGAGATGCCCCTCGGTGGCCGCTCGCTGAGGTTCATTACTGACGGGGCGGTGGATACCGGAGGAGGGTCGCGCCCTAAAGCCCCTGCCGATAATGAGGGGAGAGGATCTTTGCCGGAGTTGGTCGCGGTCAAGTGTCCCTGTTCTGCAGTCGTGGGGGCTCAGCCGGGCTGAGAGGACGCCGGGGCTCGGCTGGGCTGAGAGGAAGCCGGCAAGATGGCGAACGGCGGGGCGGGGTTGGTGCCTGCGGGAAAAGGATACATCTTGGGGAGAGATCCGCCCATCTGATGGAGTCCAGCACCGATGAGCCGGAGGGAGGGATGCCGGCCGACGGTAGTGGGGATGGTGCGGAGGTCGCTGTCAACTGGCTCGCCGGGGAGTACGGCCAGGCTGTGCGGAGGGAATAGGTGGACGAGCCGGTTGAGGGAGGGTGAATTGCCTGTGGATATAGGCCTGGTCAATGAGGGTGTTGGGTCTGATGAGATGGGCCTTGTCAGAGAATGGGGGGTTATGGTGTGTAGGGGAGTTGGGGAGGGAGAGGGATTGGGCCAAGGCATGTGGCGACCTACATGAAATCAAAGTGGGTTCTGAGTTGGGCCTAGGGAGGGGCCCAATGTGTCGACCCACCAAAGGTTGAGCGGAGGGGAAATCTGTAGTCGATAGGATAAGCTTAGGTAGATGGGTAACAGCTGTCGCCGAGAGGTTTTCTGACGGAGGGTTGAAGTTTTTCGCCGGGAGGGAACCGAAATGAACCGTCCAAGGGTGGTTACCAGTAGGTTGGTCGACTAAGGCACCAGTGGCGTCAGATTGGACAATACCTTCTGGGAAAGTAACCGCCACAAGCGGCGGCGCTGCTACAGGCAATGACTGGCCATCGGTGGACGGTGTGTCACCGGAGCGGGATTTAACATGGGACGGCGGACCTCCTGCACGAGGGAGGCTAAACAACTCGGTTGGGTGAAAAGCATATTTAATTGCTTTCTTGAAATTGTTAGTCCATGAAGTGAATCTGCCGTGGAATTCACCGGAGTCCGGCGACTGAGAGCCGGTCAGGGATGCCATGGAGGCCGGGATCTGTGAGCTCGGGATGAAAGTCATAGCGAAAAGGGAAAGCGAGAAAGCGGAAGGGAAGGCGGGGTCGGGATGCCCGAAACCGGGCGGCGCGCCGCCGGCGACGATGGACGCCGGCAGGTCAAGCTGGTGGCAGGGTTAAAATTGAAGGGGAAGAATGGAAGGAAGAAGAAGGGGGTTGTAGAGAGAGAAATGTAGAGAGATGTGGGAGCATTTGTTTTGACAATTGTTATGGAGTTTTTTACTAGAGATGTTTGCGTCCTTTCTTTTTTCTTGGTTAATATATCTTTTTTTTCTTAGTTAATCAGCTTTTTATATTTTTTTATTCAAATTTTATAAACTAGGGATATATGATTTTGTACTAGATGTATGATTTTAGTAAGGGCAAATTCCTACCGAATTCCAACGGTATTTTTTTGTTGGAGTTCTGCCACATTTTGTTCACATGCGTAGGAAGAATCATTGGAATATTCCAACACGTATGTTCCGTTGGAATGGCTGTTGGAACCAATTCCAAAGGCTAATTGACCATAGGAATAAGCGATGGATAAACTGTTGGACAATAGTTCAATAGTTCAGGAATTCCAACGAATATTTTCCGTTGGAATGGATGTAGGAATTTATTTTCATAGGACTTTCCGTCGGCTTTTATCTATTCCGACGACCTTTTTCTCACGTTCTTTTATTCGTAGGATTATCCGTTGGAATAGCTATTCCAACGAAAAATATACTAAATTCCAATGGAAATTTCTGTTGGAATGTAACCTTTTTTTTAAGTGTATAAACCCTATTTGGTAAAGTAATTCTTGCAATGCTTTTATTATGCAATTGTGCTAAATAATCAAATGTCATAGATGAGTGTAATTTATGTAGATGAGTGTAATTTATGTAGTGACGACTAAAAATATTCCACATGTGAAGTAAACATATTGGCTAGGTGAATGAACATAATGGTTGGCTAGAACGATAAAAATAACCAAAATTAAATTAAATAACCCCTAAAATGGCCACCAAAAAATGAACATAATGATTGTAGTTTGGGTCAAATCTTCCAATACTATACTAACATCGCAGCCTACGGGAAAGAATAAATAAACACAATAATATACCATCCTAAATATACTGTACTGAAAAAAAAAAAAAAGAAAAAAACTAAAACTTTGTGCTCTAAACCTCTAATTCCAATAAAACGATAAAACAAGTTCATAATTTACATTTAAAGCCTTAGTCAAGTATTCAATTCACAGTAATAGAATTGTTCACCTACACAATTATACACAATAACACTCCTCCCCCCGTCATGTTGGAGCATGCAGATTTTGGATGCGCAACTTGCCAAGAAAGAAATCGAATTCACGCTTCCCAAGTGTCTTGGTGAAGATGTTAGTGACTTGTCCCGCAGAAGGAACACGAGTAGTAGAAATGAAACCCTGTAGAACAGATTCACGAAGAAAGTGACAATACACTTCTATGTGCTTGGTGTGCTCATGAAAAACTGGATTCGCCGCAATATGCAGCGCAGACTGACTATCTCAGTATAACCGCGTAGGCTGAGAGTGAGCGACACCAATAGTAGATAACAGACCCCGCAACCACATTAGCTCGCACAATGCAGTAGCCATCCCTGATATTAAGCCTCAGCAGAAAAGCAAGCGACAGTAACTTGTTTCTTGGTTGGCCAATAAATAGTAGAGTGATGGGTCTCCTCCTAGATCTGGAGTGAACCGGTGGAAATGAGCTCCAGTCTGTTCGAATCGTCTCCAAGTCGTTTGTAGATCGCCACGAACACCTGCAAGAACTCAACACCGGAAGTGTTTTCCGGTGAAGAGCCTCCGACGCTCAAGTCAGTGAGAGAAGAGAGAAGGAGCTCTGCTCAGTGGGAGCAGCAGCTGAATAATGAATCAGGAGAATAATAGTTAGGGTTTGGAGTCACCTCTACTCCTTTATATAAGGGTAGAAATGCTCACTGGAAATACCTGAAATGCCCTAGCCAACTTACATGAAGTGTCCAAAATGCCCTGGTCGGTTCACATTCTGCCCACTCTCTGAGTCAGCACCTAGATTCCTTCTTATCTCATACACATTCTCTAGCTCCAGAAGCCTTGCTACGACATTGAGGTAAATGTGAGTCGTCAGAAATACTCTAAGTCGATTCGGAGTCTTGTCGAGTCGACTTATGGTCCGGTTAGTATATCCGAGGCTCTCTGAAGGTTTATTCGCCTTTTGGCGCGTAAGTCGACTTAAACCAAGTCAACTTCCTAAAGTCGTCTTTTGATCGTCCCTGGACCAGTGGTGATCCTCATATGACTGATAGGCCATGTCGACTTTAGAGGTATCGTCTTGATGATATTGTTGGCAGCGTCTGTCGAGTCGAGTAACTAACGCCTGAACCGGGTTATGACCATAGGGCTATATCATCTAGTCCCCCCCAAAGAATTACTCTAAGCGACCTTGAGCTTAAGAGTAAATTTAGTAGTTAGGCCTTCTTTTTCTTTTGTTGATGAGTCGTCTCGTCTTTATTCTCAAATTGTCTTGTCGGTGATTCACGTGATTCGACTAGGACGCTTGTGGTTCAACCTTATTACTTAAGAACTTTTTCTGAGCATATCCACTATCATTATTTCGAATTTCGAACTTTTGAATTGGGACCTGACACGCCGCCTCATCTTTTCTTTTGCCGCTTCGAATTTTGTGCCACATCTGAACCGTTGATTTTTACTTTAATCCAACAGCCAGGGTTCCGCAGTTCCTCCTATAAGTATTTTCTTCTTCCTCCCCCCCATACTTTTCGCACTCAAGGATTCTCGAACTTTCCCTTTTCTCCGGCAATAAAGCATCCAGCGATTTCGGCGTGCATCTCCTTCCGGCTACTTCTCCAACACTTTCGGAACTTCTTATTCCAGTCAATATGTGTAAGTTTCCCTTAACCTCTATTTCTGAAAGATTTTTATGCCTATTTTCTGGGTTTTTGATTTTGAAGTTCTATGTATGTTCTTCGTGTTCTTGAGGATCTTTGAATGATTCTGGGTGTATTAGTGCTAGATCTTAAAATGTGTTTTTTCCGATTTAAGACCATGTTTATGAGAAAGTCAACTTTTCGAGGCGTAGTCGACTTTATCTTCTTCGCGCGTCGACCTTTGTCGATCTTGGTATTTCCTGTTCCTTCTTTGCTACCGACCCTCGTCTTCTGACGAGTCCATGTTGGGCTCTGGCCTTTTTCTTTTTCACCATCCTTCTGGCCCAAGTGGTTTCCCCTAAGGTCGACTTTATGGCTAGAAGCCTTCACATATCGACGCACTCTATCGCCTTCTTTCACTTTTATACTGATCTTCATTTCTCGACTCTTTCTCATAGATTCTGGGTCCGACTCCATTTCTGGCTCTATTCCTAGCTCTTTTGTCCGTCAAATAGAGGAATACTCAAGCTCCGATTCTGTCGAAATAATTGGCTCTAAACCTGCAGTCGAGCAAGAGAGGTCACAGGGTTCATCCACCTCGATTTTTGGAATAGACCACAACGTATATACCCAAGCACTTTTGTCAGGTGAGTTCATGCAAAATAAAGACGATCCTAATCGAGGTAGCGACTCTCCTCGACTAAACCTCCTTCCCCAAGGTATTCCCCTTAGGCTCTTAGATATTCCTCTATATAGGACGAGCCCTATTTCTTTCTCAATAACGCCTTCCTATCTTAAGTCTCGAGATGTAACCATAGCTTGTCCTCTAGCCAAGTTAGCTGTTCTAAATCCATTTTCTTATGCCTCTACAGCCAAATCGAGGGATTTAGGTCGTTCGGCGGTCTACCTTCTGACTGGGAGTTGCTTCCCCCTGGCCCCAATGATGTTTTCCCTCACCCCCCTAAGGGTTGCTTCACTTTCTTCGTCGACCAAATAATGTTTGGCTTGCGGTTCCCTGTTCAACCCGAGCTTTTATCGATTAGCAACATGTACAGTGTACCCATAAATCAATTTTCTCCTAACGCACCATTCGCATTATGGTGGCTTTCATCATAATTTGTAAGATAAAGTTTGGCCACTTCTTGCCCGAGTTTCTCTTGTATTGTTATAGTTATCGCTTCATAAAGGACGCCCATTGTCTGGGTCGTCGTCCCGGTGTTTCTTTCCTCGAGGATCTTTCTTCGAACGTAACCGAGTGGAAGACCAAGTTCTTTTACCTCCGTCCTGCTCCCGGTCAATACCCCTACTCTAATATCTGGCTTACCTCTAAGGTAAATCAAAACAATCCTCGTCCTAGGTCGAGCCAGTTTCAGAATATGCTGGATGACTTAAATAAGTTCACGTGGAGTGCCCGCTTGTTGGTTAAAGATCGCGGTCTTCTCACTCATATGGGTTGGTGGAAAGACGAGGACGCCCCTCGCGTCGATGACCCTCGTAAGCCCATGTGTTTGTCTGTTTCTATGCTTATCTTCTTTTATTCATAAATTACTTGTGTTTATAATTGTTGGCGGTGTTTCTTACTTACTAGTTCCCCTGTCGTTCAGTTAAAGCTTTGCAACGCTTCGATACCAAGAAGACGAAAGGCGGTGAAAAGTCCGCCAGGCCAGTCGCTCCCTCAGCGAGAACCGACGATGGATCTGGCTCTGGAGTGAAAAAGGCGGTGGCCGAGACGACCATCGCTAGAAAATCGAAGATGGTCATCCCTTCCTCACTGCCACAGAAAAACCCGGGTCCTGGGGCCAAGAAAAAGGGGCTAGACGAAGTCGACCCCAAGCAGGGGGCCGACTCATCCAAGCGCCTCAAGAGTCAGGACAAGGGGAAAGCAGCCGAAGCTCCCCGTTCTCCTGGCGCCCTCGAGACAGTCACACTCGAGAGGCTCTGCCAACTCTAGAACCATCCCCATCCGCATGAGATTGCCAAATACTTTGACTCGGCTATCCCTGCAACTGACAAGGCTCGTGCCGACCGCGACCCTTACGACCGTGCCGGCCGTGCTCTCCTGTGCCTCTCTCGAGTGAGTGTTCTCGACTTTTATCCCTTGGTGCATTTCTCTTATCCTCGTTTTTATCTTACTGACTTTTCTACATTTTCCTTCCAGTTCATGGCATATATAATTCCCACTCTTGTCGAGGAGTCTAGCTCGCCTAACTCCAATGTTCATGCTTATAAG